TTTGAGTGCTTGCTTTTCCGGACCGCTGCTCATCTTTCCGGACCGCAATGTCTACAATTAGAGTGCGTTTTGGGTGCTCGCTTTTCCGGACCGCTGCATGCCTTTCCGGACCACAATCGCTACGATTAGAGTACGTTTTGGGTGCTTGCTTTTCCGGACCGTTGCACGTCTTTCCGGACCGCATGTGTTTCAAGTACAATCTGTTTTGAGCCCCTTCTTTTGGATGTCTTAAGAACTAGGTAGCCCCATAACCGGCCCCAAAAGATGTCTGAAACCAGTTCGACGCATCTTCCTGCTCACCGTCTCAAGACTTCTTCTTTCTCTCTGTCTCTTTCTCCCTTCTCTTCTTTCTTTTCCCGTTTTTTCCTGTTTTTTCTCCAAAGCTGAGGTAGCCTACGGACAAAAAGAGGTCTGAAACCACTCTGAAACACCCCGCTGCTCACCATTTACAACGCTCTCTCTCTCCTCTCCCTCTTCCTCTCTCTGTCTCTCTCTCTCTCTGTCTCCCTGTCTCTCTCTCTCTCGCCTTCTGTTTGTCTCCATCTCTGTCTCGTGCTATCCTCTTTTCCCGACCGCTGCATGTCTTTCCGGACCGTAATGTCTACAATAAGAGTACGTTTTAGGTGCTTGCTTTTCCGGACCGCTGCGCGTCTTTCCGGACCGCGATATCTACAATTAGAGTACTTTTTGGGTGCTTGCTGTTCCGGACCGCTGCAGGTCTTTCCGGACCACAATGGCTACAATTAGAATACGTTTTGGGTGCTTGCTGGTCCGGACCGCTGCATGTCTTTCGGACCGTAATGTCTACAATAAGAGTACGTTTTGGGTGCTTGCTTTTCCGGACCGCTGCAGGTCTTTCCGGACCGCAATGCCTACAATTAGAGTACGTTTTGGGTGCTTGCGTTTCCGGACCGCTGCAGGTCTTTCCGGACCGCGATATCTACAATTAGAATACTTTTTTGGGTGCTTGCTTTTCCGGACCGCTGCAGGTCTTTCCGGACCACAATGGCTACAATTAGAGTACGTTTTGGGTGCTTGCTTTGTCTCTGTCTCTTTCTCCCTTCTCTTCTTTCTTTTCCCGTTCTTTCCTGTTTTTTCTCCAAAGCTGAGGTAGCCTAAGGACAAAAAGAGGTCTGAAACCACTCTGAAACACCCGCTGCTCACCATTTACAACGCTCTCTCTCTCCTCTCCCTCTTCCTCTCTCTGTCTCTCTCTCTCTCTCTCTCTCTCTGTCTCTCGTGCTATCCTCTTTTCCCGACCGCTGCAGGTCTTTCCGGACCGCGATATCTACAATTAGAGTACGTTTTGGGTGCTTGCTTTTCCGGACCGCTGCATGTCTTTCCGGACCGCAATGTCTACAATAAGAGTACGTTTTGGGTGCTTGCTTTTCCGGACCGCTGCATGTCTTTCCGGACCACAATGTCTACAATTAGAGTACGTTTTGGGTGCTTGCTTTTCCGGACCGCTGCGCGTCTTTTCGGACCGCGCTATCTACAATTAGAGTACTTTTTGGGTGCTTCCTTTTCCGGACCGCTGCAGGTCTTTCCGGACCACAATGTCTACAATTAGAGTACGATAGAGTACGTTTTGGGTGCTTGCTGTTCCGGACCACTGCATGTCTTTCCGGACCGTAATGTCTACAATTAGAGTACGTTTTGGGTGCTTGCTTTTCCGGACCGCTGCATGTCTTTCCGGGCCGCAATGTCTACAATTAGAGTACGTTTTGAGTGCTTGCTTTTCCGGACCGCTGCTCATCTTTCCGGACCGCAATGTCTCCAATGCGTTTTGGGTGCTCGCTTTTCCGGACCGCTGCATGCCTTTCCGGACCGCAATCGCTACGATTAGAGTACGTTTTGGGTGCTTGCTTTTCCGGACCGTTGCACGTCTTTCCGGACCGCATGTGTTTCAAGTACAATCTGTTTTGAGCCCCTTCTTTTGGATGTCTTAAGAACTAGGTAGCCCCATAACCGGTCCCAAAAGAGGTCTGAAACCAGTTCGACGCATCTTCCTGCTCACCGTCTCAAGACTTCTTCTTTCTCTCTGTCTCTTTCTCCCTTCTCTTCTTTTCCCGTTTTTTCCTGTTTTTTCTCCAAAGCTGAGGTAGCCTACGGACAAAAAGAGGTCTGAAATCACTCTGAAACACCCCGCTGCTCACCATTTACAACGCTCTCTCTCTCCTCTCCCTCTTCCTCTCTCTGTCTCTCTCTCTCTCTCGCCTTCTGTTTGTCTCCATCTTCCATCTTCCTCTCTCTCTCTCTCTATCTCTCTCTCTCTCTCTTTCCCTCTTCCTCTCTCTGTCTCTCTCTCTCTCTTTCTCTACCTTTTCTCTTTCTTTTTTCATCTCCCAAAGCTGGGGTACCGAAAAAACAAGCCCAAAAGAGGTCTGAAACCACTCTGAAACACCTTCCTGCTCACCATCTCCGGACTGCTGCTGCATGTCTTCCGGACCGCGTTGGCTGCTTTATCTCTATCTATCTATCTATCTATCTGTCTATTTATCTATCTATCTATCTGCTCCTTTTTCTTTGGATGGCCTATTTACCACCCTGGTTATCTATGTTTATCAACTCGAGATATTAATATTTAAGATCTAAATCAGATACGGTGGTAGTGGTAGTAGTAGTAGTAGTAATAATAATAATAATAGTAGTTAGTAGTACTAGTAGTACTAGTAGTAGTAGTAGTAGTAGTAGTAGTAGTGGTTATATATATATATAGTAACATTACTGTATTGGTTTTTTTTCTGAAAACATACCACCCCAAAAATCACATAGTTGATCGTCATTGCTTTGTTCCATAAATAGTTTCGGGTTTACATTCCGTTTCCAGACAAGTACCCTTCTACTTCCCAGTACTACTGTGTACTACTAAGCTTGCAAAAAATCCTTCCCAGTACTACTTTGTACTACAAAGCTTGCACAAATCACTTCCCAGTACTACTTTGTACTAAGCTTGCACAAACTACTTCCCAGTACTACTGTGTACTACAAAGCTTGCACAAACCACTTCCCAGTACTACTTTGTACTACAAAGCTTGCGCAAACTACTTCCCAGTACTACTGTGTACTACAAAGCTTGCACAAACCACTTCCCAGCACTACTTTGTACTACAAAGCTTGCACAAACCACTTCCCAGTACTACTGTGTACTACAAAGCTTGCACAAACTACTTCCCAGTACTACTGTGTACTACAAAGCTTGCACAAACCACTTCCCAGTACTACTTTGCACTACAAAGCTTGCACAAACTACTTCCCAGTACTACTGTGTACTACAAATAACCCTTTGGGTACTGAGCATTAAATATTTGGTTGTCAACAGAAGGTCTAAAACAGGTCTGAAACAGGTCTGAAACAGTCAAAACGTTGCTGGGTAAAGAGATATAGAGAGAGAGAGAGAGATAGAGGGAGATGTGGAAAGATAGAAAAAGAGAAAAAGAAACAGGATTCTTTTAACAAGTATGACCCCGTTGGTCTACGAGTATCAAACTTGGCTTCTTAGGGCCGTGACGTGGCAGTAACATTACTGTATTGGAAATTGTTTTCTGAAAACATGCCACCCCAAAATCACATAGTTGATCGTCATTGCTTTGTTCCATAAATAGTTTCGGGTTTACATTCCGTTTCCAGACAAGCAACCTTCTACTTCCCAGTACTACTGTGTACTACTAAGCTTGCAAAAAATCTTTCCCAGTACTACTTTGTACTACAAAGCTTGCACAAACCACTTCCCAGTACTACTTTGTACTACAAAGCTTGCACAAAACTACTTTCCGTACACTTTGTACTACTTGTGTACGTACTACAAAGCTTGCACCTTCCCAGTACTACTGTGTATACAAAGCTTGCACAAACCACTTCCCAGTACTACTTTGTACTACAAAGCTGGCACAAAGCACTTCCCAGTACTACTGTGTACTACAAAGCTTGCACAAAGCACTTCCCAGTACTACTGTGTACTACAAAGCTTGCACAAACCACTTCCCAGTACTACTGTGTACTACAAAGCTTGCACAAAGCACTTCCCAGTACTACTGTGTACTACAAAGCTTGCACAAAGCACTTCCCAGTACTACTGTGTACTACAAAGCTTGCACAAAGCACTTCCCAGTACTACTGTGTACTACAAAGCACAAACACGTTCCAGTACTAAACTACAAAGCTTGCACTTCCCAGTACTACTTTTGCACAAAGCACTTCCCAGTACTACTGTGTACTACAAAGCTTGCACAAACACTTCCCAGTACTACTTTGTACTACAAAGCTTGCACAAACTACTTCCCAGTACTACTTTGTACTACAAAGCTTGCACAAAGCACTTCCCAGTACTACTTTGTACTACAAAGCTTGCACAAAACACTTCCCAGTACTACTTTGTACTACAAAGCTTGCACAAAGCACTTCCCAGTACTACTTTGTACTACAAAGCTTGCACAAACTACTTCCCAGTACTACTTTGTACTGCAAAGCTTGCACAAAGCACTTCCCAGTACTACTGTGTACTACAAAGCTTGCACAAAGCACTTCCCAGTACTACTTTGTACTTCAAAGCTTGCACAAAGCACTTCCCAGTACATTGTGGCAGCAATTCAGAAAAGGAGGAAATAAGTGCCTACAAATTCAGACCCTATCTATTGTAAACGTCAGTTGAGCCAGACATGCCTCATGAAATGCAAAGTAAACTAAATTAGTATTCGGATATGATTTTGCGCTAAAACCCTGGGAAGCGCAAGAAGGCGCAAGGGCGAGCGCAAGATGGATAAAGTAACGCAAAAAACTACTTAGGTTTAGAACAGCCCCCACATAATTACATATGCAAATACATTCACATATATATATATATTTTTGCACGTGTATATACGTATATATATATATGTGCATATATATGTACATATATATGTACATACACAAATTTACACACACACACATATATATATATAGATACATACAGACATCATACAATACAAATATGTGGTCGTAAGATGCCCCTGCTCTTGCAGGAAATTCTCAGAACGGAGATGGCGATGACTGCAGATCAGCTCACCAAAGAAGTCGCAGAGGCAATGAAGGTGCCAACGAAGGACATGGGCAGGAAGAAGATCTAATCTGGTTGGTGGTTTCAATCAATTTTCATTTTCCATAATATATGGGATAATCCTTCCCATTGTGTAATATTTTTCAAGATGGTTAAAACCACCAACCAGCTATTCATAGTAAAAACCATGATATATGTTAATATACTTACCACATATCATACTATCTATATAGATGGTATTACTGATATACTATCTCTATATAGTAATTGCCATAATATATAGATGGTATATTATCCATATCTAATTAATAGTAGTCTTTACCCAAAAAACATTACATAGTATATTAGTATACAGGTCATATACTCTATATATATATGATTATATAGGTAATATATCACTATACAGTACATATGGGGGTCGTAAGTCATAGGGCTACCCCCAGTCATCATCCAAGTCATCCAAGTCATCTGGTTTTGTCTATTGGAGTAACCCGAAAAAAAACTTTGATGGTTGAGAAAATCTCGTATTTTTACCATTGAATCATCAAAAATATTGTGTGAAAATATGGATTTTGTGACGATCATGGAATACCACCTATTTTTTACATGAACATTCCCATTAAAATTATTATTATTTTACATGGTATACCACATTTTTAGACGAACCCAAATGGAACCACGGCCACGTACCGCTAAGTCACCGGTATTGTGTTGAGAAAGTGGCACCACCGTCATCTCCCTCATTTCAGGTTTGTGCATTTGTGAACTACTACAATCATTGTGGAAAGGATATATATATATAATAATTGCCTGTTCAAATTGTTCATCATTGTGAGGATATATATATACATATATATATATGAAGGATATATATATATATGTACTAATCATTGTTTGAACAATTTTGCCTGTTCTAATTCGCTAATTTCACATATTCATTCTGGATGTTGATGAACAGTACCCGCTGTGACTCCAATGGCACGGTGAATCGCCCCTTTTTTTGTCCGAGCGCCATGCACGGAGATCATTCCAGGTCATATCGTGCATATTTAGCACGTCTTGACTTTAACAAATCTTGAACTTCACACCAGAGCATATCTCACATTATATATATATATACGCATGTTTCATGTTCTTTTCATATCTGTGTGTCAATGCCCACATTTAACCCCTCACAGCTGGCTTGCTGAGGGTTTTGGCACAGGCATTTCTACAGCCTTTGGGGCTGGTCGACCCAAGAAACTTCTCGTTCGAAACACACCCGAAACGCATGCGGGGTGTAATGTGGGTAAAATGTCATAAACCACCCATGACTGGGAATGCTTTATAGATGGTTTATGTTTGTTTCAACCACATTATTCGTATTTTTTTCTTACGGGGAATGCAAACTTCCTTTGATGCGCTTAGCACAGCGAACTGATGACAGCGGGAAGGTGCCCTTCTGCAAACTGATCTCATCCGATGGTGAGGAAATTTCGGGGGTTCCTTGGAGTGAAGCACTTGAAACCAGGGTGGAACATGGCGAAAAACCCTGGGAAAATGATGATTTTATGATGGAATATGATGATTTCCAATGATAGAAACGATGGATTCAACGATGGATTCATCCATATTTAAGCATAGACAATTGTGATTTGACCGTGGAGATACAAGATGAGAATGGGACATGTCTGACGAGACACCATCCCTAAATGACCCACGGATGAAGGGAAAGGATAGGACCCAGAAACAGTGGATGACTGGATGATGATTGTTTATATATGTTTATTTATGTATATGTTTATATATGTTTATATGTCAATATAGAAATCATGTACAACATAGATGTCTTCTTTCAAGTGGTTGCTCTGTGAAGGTTCCCCAACTTTCACAATCATTCTGGGTAAATGATCAATGCTGGTTTCTCCAGGTTGGCGTAGCAGCAGATAGTTGGTGAACTATATCCACTACATCATCATATCCCATCATATCCCCATTGTGACTAGTTTTTTACTCCGTTTACCCCATATCATCAGAAATCATCCATTCATAAATCATCACTTTCCCCTATGAACATCGTATTTTTTTCCGGGGTAAAGCATCATTTTCAGACACACCCGTAGAATACAGCTATTGAACACCCGTAGAAATAGATGATTTACCTATCAAACATGGTGATTTTCAGCTAACTGTTGAATTACCATATATGGTACCCCATGATATGCAAGCAAGAGCTTGTATGTGTTCATTATTGTTTCTTTACAACAGTTGGATGGGCTTTTCTTTTAGTAATTATATGGGGATGGGTCAAAACCTTGTACCCCTGGTGAACCTCAAAATAGCTGGTAAATGGATGTTCATCCCACTAAAAATGTATCTATAGGTATTGACCCATACCCATATACACCCCATATATACCCCATATATCTCCATCCATGTGCGTCCGCTAACGAGGACGCCGCGGTGAGTTTCGATGAAGTCACTGCAGTGGCTGTGTCCTGGCGGCGGCGATGGGCTTTTCGTTTTGTCATGGTGGTACCCCCCATAGCTATTGAAAATGACCATTAATAGTGGATTTTCCCATTAAAAATGGTGATTTTCAATAGCTATGTTAAATTACCAGAGGGTATCATCCATTTATAGATGTGATTTTTAGTAGGATTTTCCACAGATGAAACCATCCAGCTATTGAGATTTTTGTCGATTTTCCATGAAATAAAACTATCAGCTGGGGTTTCCAAATTATTGGTGATTATCCATGGGAAAAGCCATGGTTTATGGGAAAAAAATCTGATTTTTTAGGACACCAAATAAATCTTGCGATGATCTATGATCCATGACGTCTATGTACATCATTGTTCATCTATGTCTCTATGATTATTGTATGCATCATGATGTGGTGTTTCAAATGGCCTGTGCCCCCAGTGTGTGATGTGCGTTTGGGTTCATGGTTTTTGAAACAAATTAGACCTCACATACTTGAGACTATCATATGATACGTACAGGGATATCCCACATTACAAGTGGCATGTTATATCACTACATATCATTGCCAATATTATCATATATTGTCCAATCTTATTTTATTCCATATCACATCGTATTCTTATCCCATATTTTCCATATATATATATACACACTGGTTGGTGGTTTGGAACATTTTTCATTTTTCCAATATATATGAGGAATAATCATCCCAACTGACACGAACTCCATCATTTTTCAGAGGGGTAGGTCAACCACCAACCAGCCATTCTATCATCATTCAATCCAGTTAAATCCCTAGTTTTGATGGTTAAATACTCCCATATATATCCATATATCCATATACATATATATATATATATGATCAATGATTCACCATTATTAACCAGGTATTTCTCCATTAAATCATATTATTATTATATATATATAATGATATGACTGCTTCCCGTTGCCCGTTGCATCGCACTTCGCCGCAGCAAGGTGTCCTTGGATCCCTTGCTGCAGATGTTGGGCTTCGATGAAAGCATCGAGGCCGCCACGGTGCCACGAGAGGACTTGGAGAAGATGGTGCTGTTGCCTGGAGATGAGGAGGAAGTTTTTTTTTTCGACCAAAAAAAAAGGCCATGGGAAAAAATAAGGTTTTTGAATGGCTTATATGGGAAAAACCCAAGTTTTTTTTTAAAAACAAATCCAAGGTTTTTTCAATGACATTCTACAAAAACTATACGAAATGAAGAAAAACTTATTTGTTCCATGGCTTTTTCTAATTTTCTAATTTTCTATGGTATACTGTAAAGCTATAGAACATCTTTGACATTCTACAACCAGGATTTGATGGGAATATCTGGGATTCTGGGATATTATCGGATACTAGTTCCGCTCTCGTCCAAGGTTTGGCCGTTGCTTGCTGTCAACTGCCTGCCATCACGGTGGTCCGGGACATTTGGAAGGATGGTTGCGCTGCTCACTTGAGATATCTTGGAGTGATTTTTGTTGTTGTCAGCCTTTTTAATCATCCATTTCTGGGGCACAACCTGATGGTTGGGGTTGGGGGCCCTGGCCCTGAAGGAATCTCTCACATCCCAGTTTTTGGGTCAAAATTCAGAGGATGCCAATATCATGATTACCAGCAGCCTACATTTAAGGGCTCCTTTGAGCCCTTTCGTCACAGAATCTGGGGGATCCAGCGGTGGTTGGCCCTGTTTGAGACCACCTTCACCTTCCAAGTTACGCAAGAAGCAGAGGTTCAGAGACGGCCGAAGTTAGTTTTTTACACATCAATGAAGGTTGGATTCATTATTCCGGTGCCGTTTCAGTACAGCCTAGTAGGACTCCTTTGGATTCGGCTCTTGGATTCCTATGGTTGGTCAAACCTGACTTTTTGCGTCTGTGGGAAACACAAACACCTTGAGATGTGTGTTGTCACTTGTCGTGGCGCATCCGATCCCAGACTTAGACGTTGAAAGGGTCCCCATGACCAGAAACCATCATTTTTTACGTCCACAATGACCAGAAATGGATGGTTTTGGAGCACCGAATTGGTGGGTTTACCATGGTTTACCACACTGCATGACATGAAGAGACGCATGGACGTTATGCACCTTACGGGCCAAACCTGCTGATTTATGCTGGACAAATCCCGTGGTGTTTAGGAATGAAGAATTATCGGACAGTGAATTCCGCTTCTTCTCATTTGTATTTTTCTAAAAAATCATGATATAGATGAATTACAATTAAGCCATGGGGTATCCCTTTATATTTTCTTAATTTCTTAGGGACAAAGATCCTACGTTCGTCCGAAAAAAACCACCACCGAACCGTTTTGGTTCCCAGCATTTTCCAACGGGTGAAATCGGTGGATGAACAACACCAACGGCTGGGTCAGATTCCTCATCTTGGACGAATCCCGCTTGGCAATTCCAAATTGTTGCTGGAAAATCACAGAATTGTGTTAGTTACTGTAAATCATATTATATAAAACCCTATATAATTCCTAGATATATTGATACATATATATATGTATTGATATATATATATATATGTATTGAGATATATATATACACATCTGTTTGCAGGCAAACATCTTATGTTTTTCCCTGGCAAAGCCAAGCATGTTTCTGAGGTGTGCCCTGGAATTGCTCCATCCCGAGCCCCCCCTGCTTCAAAAGCAAAAAGTATCTGGAAGTGACGCACAAGTTGGAGCCCCAGGTGATAGGGTGGAAGCAGTTGAAACATCAAAAAATTGGGGCGGGTGAAGCAACCGGATTTTTTGATTCGGAAGAAGTTTGTGAGGTAGGTCAGGCGACAGACAGTAGAGATTTGAATAACATAGATGTGGACTAAAAACTGACAAACATGTGGATGTAGAAAAAACAAAGCTGGGATAACAGCACCATTTTTCTGCCTAGAATCGACATGTTATTTTTGGTTCAATCTCACATTTTTCTTGCTTGAAGTCATTCAACTTTTAAGTAAATCCACATTTTACGGTGGTCAACTCCCATAATTTTTTGGGGGGTTCACGTTCGATTTCGGTTGCAAACCAAACCTACGGTGCCTAAAAGTTGCCAGGCAGCCCCTGTTGCCGGCGGGCACGCGGGTGACGTTGCGGAAAGCACCAAACACCTTGGGACACGTGGAGGAAGGCAGCCGGGTGTTGACCTCGCCCATGTTGCTGAAGGACAGAGGGGATGGGGAGTTATTTTTGCACCATCCCCAAGTCAAGAATTTTTATGGGTGAACTTAAACCCGTCCCGAACTGGTAGGTTGATGTGGGTTTATTATTGGGTTGATCGGGTTTGTTGCAAATTTGGATGATTTTTGGCACCAATTGCGGAGATATCCAGCCGTTGAGGGGTGAACTTGGTGAAACCATAGGGATATCACCTGGATATCACCTGTAGGGGCAGCAGGTGAATTTCATCAATTTCTAGGAAATGATGGTGGGATTTTTGTCGACCATTCATAGGTTTGGCTTGACCAACGAAAAAATTGGTCCGAAAAAAAAATCACCAAACATGGGGCAGAATCACTTGTAAGCCCTTAGGTGAAAACATGAATTTCACCTACACAAAAAGTGTTGGAGGATGGTGGAAAAGTACAAGAAAAACACCTCCAAAAGGCGATATCTATAGAGGCCATGTAAGAAATCAACCAGTTACTGTCCCCCTTTGTTGCTACTTAAAATCGATGTTGGATGGTCGCGATGTCACCAAAGATGATTGGAATAGGATTCAGGAAACCATCTCAAAAAATCACACAACATTTCAGGTGAATGTTCGCAAACCACATTTAGTCCTTGGCAATTCAACATAGCTATGGAAAGGTGGAAGAATGTTGATTGATTATAAATGATTGGTAAATCAGACCCATGAGAGCCCCATTAGAATCACCATATTAGAGTAATGATGATAATGATGATGCTGATGATTATTTACAATCATAATTAAAATCTTATTTATGATTATCATCATTAAAAGTCCCATGAAAATCACCATATTTTCGTGCTGCGATTGGCTAGGACCTGAAAATGATCCGCGACGCGGCTCCGCTCCAGCGAGAGGAGAAGGCGCCAAGGACATCGGTTGATTCTAGTGGATCCATGCAAATACGTAGTTGGAAGGAGTTATAAATTAACGTAAATCAAGAAACATAGCTCGTGGTGCCCTTACAATCAGTTCCCGTCGCCTGAATCGAGCCCCTGGAACATCACCGAAAATGGTGGTGAAATATATATATATACATAATTGTATATATATATACACCATTATATATATACACATATATATATATATATTCATATATATATATAAGATGTGTATATTATATGTACATTAATTTTGATGTGCCTAAAAGCCACTTAAGATCTTCATGCTTTGAGCCGCTTTTCGGCGACTCCAGGTCGAGCTCTTACGGCTCCCCGAAGCGCGAGAGATGGAAGCGGATTCCGTGCAGCTGGGACATGCTGGGACGGTCGCGATCCTGAGATTTTGATGGGCCGAAAAAAAGAGGGCAGATTCTGGTCAGTAGTGTTGATTTAATGTATTGATCATGTATGAAAAAATATGATTTTTATATAGAATCATGTATTGATCATATGATATCATATGTATGAAAAAATGATTTTTATATAGATGTACTATAGATGTACTCATCATCCAATTTCTTAGGGCGCCATCGAATTTTGAGCCATATACGAACCCTGTCCAAACGATCCCCAATAGTGACTAGTGTGACTAGTGCTGATGTGGAGAAACTCGACCCACATCCTCCGTTTCAAAGAAATTGGGGATGGATCAAAAACCATGAAACATGGTGATTTAATGGGATGTTTATAGTGATTTATATAATGGGATATTATTGGTATATACCCTCTGGTAATGACTAACAGTTTGCTATTGAAAATGGCCATTGAAATAGTGGATTTACCCATTGAACCTGGTGGATCTTTCCAGTTCGTTATGTAAACGTTTACCAGGGGGTATCATATTTTGGGCATGAGCATCCATGTACCAGCCATTTTGGGGTTTACGCATAGCCATGTTTCGAGCCATGCGCCATGCATCGGGCAATCATGGCTGGTGGTTGATGTTGCCAGCCATGTCAGACATCCGCAAAATGCCAACATGCCATGGGAAAGGGGTAAACAGATGACATCAGATGACATGTTTCCTGAAAGTTTGGGATAGCCCTAAGTCATCCAGCTATTAGATCGGAATTTTCCATGAAATCAACCATCCAGCGCCCAAAGATGGGCAGAATCTGGTCGAGTCATAGGGCGGTCCCTCAAGAAATGGATGTGTGTTTTTTTGCCAACATTTTAACACGAAAAACAGATCAACACTTTTTTTTTCTTTCAGTCCCTGAATTTTGACTTACCCTCTGGTAAACTAACAGTTTGCTCTGGAAAATGGCCCATTTATAGGTGATTTACCTCTTAAGCACGGTCATTTCCAATAGCAAACTGTTAGTTTACCAGGCCGGGTAGCCCTTTCTGAGTCCAAATCGAGCTCGCCTTAGGTACCGCACAGTGCGTGTGGCCAAATATGAGCCTGGAGACGTTCAACTGGAAGTTGGACATAAGTTTTGGAGAGACGATGACGATTATTGAGTCCCAAAGGATGGATCCGAGAGGAGTGCCAATGGTTGGGATTTATTGAGTCCCAATATGGGTATGGATCAATACCTATACATACCATTTTTAGTGGGATGAACATCCATTTACCAGCTATTTTGATGTTCACCAGGGGTACAAGGTTTTGACACACTGCCATATGGCTCAATGAAAACTTTACATTGTAAAGTCTGCAGAAATGGCGGAAACGACGCGAGGAAGATCATTTTTTTAATTTGACTTCGAGACACAGCACTTGAATTTTGACCATAGGTGTGGTTTGAAAATCGAGAAATGTCCAATAAAGGGGAAACATGATCCGACAAAAAAGAAATACGCATTGTTTTTTTGTTGGACTTTGATCAGCAGTGGGATGGGGACTGGGACTGATCGTAGATCAACGAAGGCAGTGTGTCTCAACAAATGTCCCCGTTCCAAACGTCATGGTAGAGGGGAATGTGAAGTAAGGATAAGTAAGGTAATATCATATTCTACTATATCATAAGACTGCTTGCTAAGGGGGGAGCACTCCTGGGACATCTATTCAGCCCGTCAGCATCACCAAGCCAGACGGCTGCTGAAAATGCAACAGTCATCATCGTGCCTGTGCGATTCGGCAAACATGGCCAGTTGCAGGGGCCAAGGTCAGCACGGGCAGATGAGTACCCCTTCACCTGGCAAACCAGCACCAAAAAAGATGGGCGCCGAAAGGTCTCATTCGAATCCATTCGCATCCATTCGCTATTATTTCAATTCCAAACAATGCTCCCATTTTTGTGCTATTGTGCACACGAAAACTGTGGCGCAGCAAAAGGGATGGGTAAGATGGGCGCCAGGGCCGGCTGTGTCTCCCAATTTTCATGGCATTTTAACGATATTTCAGTGGAGTATACCCCTTTGAACTATATTTTGTCTGGCATATTTTAAGACACTTTTTAAGGGATTCGCATTTTCGGGGCAGTGGATGGCCTTGGGTGCAGCTACAGATCGACCCCGGAAGCGAGCCCGAGCCCAGGCTGTGATGCATTTGTGGCCACTGGGCACCTACTTGGATAATCCCAAGATATCCCAAGTGACAAAGATGTTTGATCAAAGTTTGATGATATTTGTGGGATGGCTTGAAACATCTTGAAAGCCACCAATGATCCACCAATGATCCACCAAAGTTTTTGCCGATGTTTCTCCTTGTTGGTTCTGGTATTTACCTTATGAAGCACCACCATGGTATAGTTGGTTGAAGCCACCACTGGATCCACAGTTTCTTTGGGACATCCAAACAACAATCTTTCGGAAATACCTATGGCCATGGAGTCCGGAAAGACCCAAAGCTTTGAAGATATGGGGGTTTCCATAGTCAGGGAGGTACCCCAATAATTAGCTGGATGGTTGATTTCATGGAAAATCCTAGTAAGATGGATGATAACTAGGGGTACCCCCTATTTCAGGAACCTCCATATGACCAGCAGATGACCAGCCTGGCAGGTGGATTGGGCAGTGGATCAACCGTGTCTCCTGGAAGCATTTGGCCAAAACACAAGCGTGTCACTGGGAATGTCATGGGAATAGAATGGGAATAGATCATGGGATTATATATATATAATGGGATTATATATATATTATATAAAATGGGATATATATATATATATTATAATGGGATAGGGTTTCAAATGTGGCAGCGATTCAAAACAAGGCATTTGTGGCTTTCAAATTTGAAGACACCCCCGAGGGCCCCCAAAACCTCAGCCATCAGGACTGCGAGAGATTGCACTTCGTCAGCTAAATGAGTAATGAATGGTTAATGAATGGTAATGGATGATTAATGTTACCTACATGGTAAAGAATGGTATTGATATATTGATATATTATGATATATTGATGGTATTTTCACGATATCATGGTATTAATGAGTGATATTCTGGTTGGTGGTTTCAAACATGGCTTTTATTTTCCATAATATATGGGATAATCCTTCCCACTGACTCATATTTTTCGGAGGGGTTGAAACCACCAACCAGTATATAATATGTGTACATATCAGTAAATGCCTATCAACTTTCCACGTCGGAATCCACCAAATCAGCATCGCAATTCCAAGAATTCTTTGCGCTGAAAATTTGGTGCTCCGCATCGGGCCTCACGTGAGAAGCCTGGGGCGACAAACACATCCCAACACTGAACAGATTTACCCTCTGGTAAACTAACATAGCTATGGAAAATCACTATTTTTAATGGGAAAATCCATTATAAATGGCAATTTTCAATAGCTATGTTAAATTACCAGAGGGTATGCCTGACATCTGGGTTAGTACCCTGCCACATGGTCCTGTGGGCTGTGTTCACCCCGAAAAATGCGTTGATCTTCCGCAGCTTTCTACCCCCAGCCTGGGGCCATGGTAGCCGTTTCCCAAGATGACGACGCTACATGGTACTGGGATGATCCGAAGATCAATATTTCTCGGGATTGATTTTCCTCTATGGATTTGTAGGGAAAATAGGGTATATTCCCAATGAAATAGCTATTTAATAGGGATAATGATCATTAACCATTGGGTTTAGGGGTACACTATTTTCAGACACACCCCTATGGATTTGTAGGGAAACTCATGTTTTTTTTCCCCCATGAAATATGAGGCTTAACCATACACTGAAATGACCATGAAATGCGGTGCTTTTGGCCTGCAAATGTTCCCCAAACATCCCCAAACCCTGCGACCATTTGCGAGTCGCGAGGTTTCCATTGCAGAGGGGCCGCCTGAGCAAAGACTGGTTGAAGAAGGACTTATCTCAGCCATTCTGTGGGCAAGAAAAACGTATCTAAACCGGTCAATAACACTATATAGCATGGCTAGTCTCAAACCTTCATGTCAAAGCCAAAGATATATTTAAGGATCTGTACACGTATATATAATTATATATAACTAGATATAATTATATATAATTGCATAATATGCATATATATATATATTTATATTATTTTTGGATATTGTATTGAAAAAGGGCATGCACCATGCACGAATTCATTTCCAATATTGGCTGGTGACGAACACTTGGCTGGATCCAGTGGGAGATCAGCATGATGTTTCGCCGTGAATTTTTTCGCCGTTGAAACAGGGTTTGGTAAATGTCCCATGGCTTGGGGATTTTGAACATCACTTGAAAAAGTATCTGTTGGAGATTATATCCCCAATATTTGGGTGATGTGAAAAATTAGGACATTTACCAAGCCCTGTTAAAACTGGTCACCGGTGACAAGAGTGAGCCAATCAGATGGACATTTTCCATCGAATTATCCATTCGAACTCTTTGGGGGCTGTGATAACCCAAAGTCCACTAACTGGAGATATCCTGGAATATGCTGAGAACCCAACGTTGGCGAATCATGCGGAGGCTAGGGAACACATCCATTAGTTTATGGGGGCTATGATCATGAAATCAGTTTGGAATCCTTACAGTGCTGGACCTAGTTCCATATCTCAGATTATCGGTTTATGAGTTAATCAACATGTCACATCAACTGGTGGTTAAAACCAGACTTGGTGAAACCCAAATTGGCCTGGTGGTTTTAGATATTTTAAACTCAACCGTGGGATGGTGCTCCCATATTGGCATCTTTTGGGAGTTGAAACATGTTGAAACCACCGATATCAAGTCGCATAACTCGTCGCATATTGATCCAAGGGCAGGCGCCGTTAGCGCAGGCGAAACCTTCCAGTGCCATTCAGCCATTAGCGAAACAACGCCGAGCAGTGGCTGCTAAGCCCTGCTGGTTGATGGTGGGGATGATCAGCCAATTCATGAAATGGGAATCCCTGGCTGAAAATCAGCCATCATAAATTGAATGAACCACTGGGATTTTTCCGTGAAACTGCAATACTGTCACTGCAATAGTCAAACTACTGTAGATATTTGTGTAGTATTACTCCGTGAATCATATTGATATATCTTCAAAGCAACTACTTTTATTAAATATGATCTCAATATTTGTAGCTACTTTGTTTTGGGACCTTTCCGGTCCAGGACTTTGAATTGCGCCCCGGCGGCTATGCCATGATGCGGAGGCCAACGGAACCGCGATGGTTGATCCACAGAAGGTGTGGTGAAAAATGGAAGCCACACTTCAGAAATTTCCATCAATGGGTTGTATAGTGTATAGAAATATCCATCGGATTGTGATGTCCATTGGAGGCTTCTTGGGCCAAGGGGTTTACCACATTTCTCTGAACTCAACTCGAAGTCGTTTTGATGAAGTCCGATTGATCATACTTCTTTGGGGATAAATTGTGTGATCATCCACCTCCTTCGAGCCAGCGCTTGTTTTTGGAGTGCTCGATGGCTTTCTGGGGATGCAGATTTGCTGGGCAGCTTTGGTGCACCTCATCGCCGTGCAGACACCTTCGGGAGCCTCAAGGAGCCTTCGACTGACGACAGGGCTTTAACGCAAATGTTAAAGAGCCAGACAGTCATGATGAACGACGTAGTCTTCAGGAATCTCCAGCGCAGAGCAGGGACTACTTCCATGGAGTACTTCCATGGACTACTTCGGTCCGAAATCCGTCGATGAGTGAAGCGCAGAGTTTTGACATCGAGGACATCGAATGCGGATCGTTGGGGTGTTTGAAAAGAAATCGAAAGTACTTCAGCGGACCTTCACAATTGTTTGACATTTCAACAGACTATTAGGGTTGTAAAAAAATCAGTATCGAAGAACAGTATTTTGGGATAGTTTGGGTTTCAAAAACACCATCGTTTTCGGGGAGGAGAAGCCACAGGATATCGTGGGCATCATCCAGAATGGATATCAATCCTTGCGAGTGTAACACGCTAGAATAAGCTCGAATGGTTGATAACAAGGGTATATACGGTGTATATCCTAGTCAGAATGTGTCCCTTGTTGTTTCCCATGTATGTTTTGGACTACATCCCAGTTGGGTTGGCGAACTGGATGGTAAACCATCCAGAATGTACAATCCGTCCATAGTGTGGAATCAACATGCAACATGTACAATCTACTACTGTAAGAATCATTTGAACAATATTTCATAATATTTCATAGGGGTCAATGCCAAGCCCAACAGTGGTTAGCTATTCACATCCCAGCGCAAGACTATGCCAGGTGGGGATGTGACATCTCACCCAGTTCTACCAAGTGGGGGGTTATTGAACACCAGTTCCCAGATAGGTTTGTCCGATGGGATCTACTCCCAGTATCCTTAAGATATGTATATATATATTTATATAAATATATATAAATGTGAAAATTATTGGGTGTTTTCCCAAGATTTTTAGGTCCAACCGTTTTTATATAAAGATGGCTGTTGGTACCCCTAAAATCCCTCCCTCCAAAAATGAATTCAAATTTGGCCTCATACACCATCTTTGCCGGGCAGGCCTGTGATGGAAACCTCTTCCGGTGTTTCCATGATGAGGACATCATTGGAGTGCTGGGCGGTTGATCGTGAATTCCTCGGCTTTGTGACAGGTTGACCCATTTAAGTGGTTAGATGTTTGTGATGATTTATGATTGGGTTTATCACATCATATATATATACACAAATATACACATACAAACCATGACAAACCAGTTATTTTGTCTTGCAACGCATCTAAGATTGGCCATGTTGTGCTTGCAGCTGGGCAAATCTTGTTGGGTACTTGTACTAGATTCATTTTTTAGACATGAAGAAATGTCCCAGCTAAGATTTGCTGAAACGTTGTTCAGTTGCCATTTTTCCAAGCGGGCTATACGGCTAGTAACGAACTGCAGCATGGGGGGAATGGTAAGACCAATCAACATGTTGGGGAGATGATGATGATGATGATGATGATGTTTATTGTGTCTACAACTTTTGTTATATTTTCAAATTACTGTTATTACATATGACTATGTTGCACTGTCCTGACTATCAGTACTTCTTGCCGACGCAACGGCACTTTTTTTTGGCTTCGAACAAGTCTTTTTGGAACATCTGTTGGGTGTCCAGTGGTGCTGTGAAGGTGTTTGGAACAGATTCAACATTGCCAGACTTGGTTTCATGGAACAAATATACAACACATCTATTTTTTAAAGGTATATAAATAGGCAAAAAACATCGGTTTTGCTGTCAGGCAATTCCCAGTTTTCCCTTCAATTCATCCCATGAAACCTGGGTGACTGAAGATGCACCGGAGCTCGAGTTTTTTTTTTTAGCGGAGAGCCAATAACATCAGCTCCAGCTTGCAAAATGATGAGTTTTTTTTTGTTTTTTCTTGGAAGACACAGCAACTTGTTCAAAAAAAACATGTGCTTTCTCCAGTTCAAAGCATTCTTTTCTGCGTGGATTCTTTTAGGCCTAGCAGGGCTGCAACCGTGGGGAGGACTCGAATGACAGAGAACTCCCATGGAGCTTTGCCAATTCCCAGGCGATTTGTCAAAGGGCAGCTGGGAGTTTCGAAGCTAGAACATGTCAAAACGATGCTTCATTGATTCATTGATGTTCATGTTATGAGATCTTTGTCATATTTTTTTTTGTCATATTTGATCACACTTTCTAGTTTTAAGATTCATAGAATTGGATGATGGGAAAATTTACAGGATAGCCCTATATTTGATGGTAAAAACCCTGGTTTCCTGTAGATTTTCCCTTAAACCAACCCAATGAAAGATGTCAATCGGTCGTGTTTTTTCCAATATGTGGAGAAGCTTCAGCAGGCTTTTTCATCCCAAGGCATCGTTGTTGGCAAGATTCCTCATTTTTTAAGAACATGAATGATAGTAATGAATGGTATGGATGATTTTCATGTTACCTACATGGTAAAGAATGGTATTGATATATATATATATATTGATATATATATTGATATATTGATATATTGAGATATTGAGATATTGATATATTGATGGTATTAATGATATCATGGTAATGATTTTAAACATGTGATCTGGTTTTCTCATGATTTTTGACAGGGCTGGGATCCTACCAAGTAGCTAGGGATCAAAACTCAGGTGCCTCAACATGAAAAGTGCTGCTAGTTGTGGTGCTCATCTGCCGAACATGGCATTGTAGGTTTTGACCCATTCCCCAGTTGGCAAAATCTGCAAACTTGTTGGCATTCAGTCACTTTGGAGGTAGCACCTACTGCCTGCAATGTGGTCGTGGCATTTCCGCGGCGACTTAACGTGTTTACAACAATTGGATTCCCACAATCTGATACTATGTATTTATTTAACGTATTTTTGTTCCATCCTTTGCATTCACATGATATGTGTATATGTTTGACTAGGTTTGCATGTATTCCCCTCGAGCTTGTGAGCAATATCAGGACATCCTCCCATTTTCCATCGTTAAAAAATCACAGCCGTTGTGTTTTTTCCTGTCAGGCCCACGTTGGCCCGACCCAATGTTCCCGTGGTGACCGCAATGCCGCAACCAGCCAGTGCACTGGCTGCAGGGCATTGTGAGACGAGACAAGGGGGATATTTATGGCATGTACCCTCTGGTAATGTCACATAGCTATTGAAAATTGCCATTTATAGTTGATTTACCTACTCAAAATGGGGATTTTCATGAATTTTCCCTACGTAGCTGTGTTACCAGAGGGTAGTCCCAAGTAGGGAATCATGGGGGAATGGTATTAGTAGGGCATTAGGGGAAGATTTTAGTCCCAAATCATCCCATTGAGCCCAGGGTGGCAATGGCTTTACCACCCAAAAGGCCCATGGCATGTTGCTGGCGACTCCGAGTGATCATCAATCGACCAGAAATCGCAGCGCTTGCTGAATTTCTGTTCAAAAGCCCGTTGGGCTGATGCTTCATTACAGGGGATTAATATCGTGGGTAGAATATCACCCAATGTATTGGTTGAGATCTTTTTCCAATATGTTGGATCAATACAGCATGTTGGTTCTATATCCAATATATTGGAAGAATATCTCGATCCATTTTCATGGGGAATCCAGTTCTCTGCTCATTCGGGCAATGTTTCAGAGTACTCCTTGATTTTCCATCCCTGGAATGATGACAACTGCCACATTTCTGGATGAACAGCACCAAACATCTCCTGAGATCAGTTAAAAAAGCCCCGGAATCTGCGCCGAGGAATGCTCTAGCGCCGCGTTGAAACAACGTCCCAGACCACGGCAACGTGGTTCAGAAAAGCGCGTTGGAATCGGCGAAGCTGCCACGGGTGAAACTAAGTACCTGAGACACCTGGTTTTCCCCATTGAAGGAGAACGACTTACCCTCTGGCGACCAAACATGACATGAGAAACGTGCATTTTTGTTCAAGAACGGGAAAACCACATTGAGAAAATTTGATAAATGGGAAATCCCCTACAAAATCGAGGTTGCGTTCGCTGGGAAATGATGGAACCGGTTGATTGTCCATTGCCAGCTTGGAGGTTGGCGAATTCTCTGGGATGGCTCGACCGTCAGAAATTTCGGAAAAAGTGATCGATTTGATTTTACTTTCACAGTGATAGACCAGCTACTGTATAGCCACGATTTTGGGTAAATTCTGATAGAGAGCAGTGAAAAAGGGATAAAATTCTGAACCATTGTGATAGAAGCAGTTCTAGACACATCTCAAGGAAAACCCACGCTTCGCCCCACAGGTCATGCCGGGCCATGGTTCGTGCCACAGCCTGCAGTGTTCGTGTTCTGCTAACGCGAAGCTGCGAGGAGAGTCTGATGGTGAGAGGGAGAAGCAACAAGTTTGTGGTTTGTATACCCTCTGGTAATTTAACATAGCTATTGAAAATTGCCATTTATAGTGGATTTACCCATTAATAATGGTGATTTTCTATAGCTACGTTAGTTTACCAGAGGGTATGTTTGTAGTAACACCCCAAAAAGATAGACTCGGCTAAATTGACCACTGTATTTTAGCGTGATTTGAGACTTTTCTACATCTTTTCCGGGTTGTCTCCATGGGAAAAACAGAGCGGTTCACCTCAAGAAAAAATGGGGCGCGCAAGATGTTTTTTTGTGGTTTCTCTATCCCAGACAGAAACATTGATGCTGGATTTACCAACATGTCATGCCAATTTTGGGAATTAAATGCTTGTAAATGCAACATGCATGGAGCATATGGGTGCCGCTATTGAGGACGTTCCTTGAGTTGGGGTTGCTTGTTAGATTTGAGGGTGTGTTTTACCATGGAATTTGTTGAGAGTCCTAATGTTTCTCTTTTCTGGATGAAATTATAATCGAATCCTTTACACTTGCCTATATGGATCTATATGGATCTCTCTCTCTCTCTATATATATAATCCTCTCACCAGTTTCCTCTATAAAATTGGTCACGCTGGCGGTTGTATAAAATGATTTTTTTATACAAATGTAGTCTCCATAGAGCAATGTCTATAAAATCCACATATACAACTTGATTGATAGGTTATGATTTTATAGTAGATAGATGGTATACAAGATGGAATCAATACAAAACTAAATTTTAATTTTATACATGTTGCTTTGGAAGAGTTTGTTGAAAACCTGGTTGGTCAAGGGTTTGATTTTCTATATGTTATTGATTTTATAGAGGACACAGGAGAGGAAACATACCTAATCAAGAACAGCTTTTGGTTTGGATTTTTTTAGTGGCTTGGGATTTCATAGAGAAAATTGCTTTTCTCTACATGAGTCCTGATGTTGGAGCTGAAATGCAGCTGGGATTGGTTTTTATTCAGGGTTCTGATTTAATATAAAACAGGTTGTGCAATGCAAGTCGGATGAGTGAAGCTGTGTCGCAGCCATTTGATGCCATTTGTGCTTGATTGAATCGCACCCTGGTCGCACCCTTGCTGCCTCGCCATGCCGCGTGGTGTGAAGAAACCCCAATGGCCGCCCGATTATCCAACTAACTGTGATACTGGGCTGTGCGTTTGAAACCTTTGGGATCATTTGGGACCATTTGGGATTATTGGGTGGATTGAAATGGCTGGAACTGAAACAAGTTTGGATTTCACTTGATGTAAAGATATAGTATCGTAAAGTATGCAGAGACAATGAAAAATGTGGCCGCTGCCGTTTCCGGCCGTGTCCAGGAAAAATGTGGTGAACCCACAGAGTCTCCTGCTTGGGATCCGCAGCGTGGAGTTTTCCGCGCCCTACCTCAATCCAGAAAAGGGTTCGAAGTTGATTTTTTGCAACGTCATGTCAGCCGAAACCCTTTGACCCGCACACCCTGCCAAGTTGGTCCTCAATCGACTAAAGTATCTATTGGGATTTCTTGTAGTGTCATGTCTCCTGAAACCATTTGACCCGCGCACCCTGCCGAGTTGGGCGCTGCCAAAAGCGCAGCGCGAGTGGCAAAATTTCCCATCACCATTGCTTTTGGGATCCGCAACTTGGATTTGATCAGCTTGGTCTTGATGAATTGACTTCCATGGGCACCTCTTTTCTATCATGTCATGTCTCTTCAGGAAGATTGGAATTTGGCAGTGGAGTCTTCGCATCTCAACCGATCGCCCAGCCACAGACCAAAACGTACCTTGTCAGAAAATTGCAAAGAGAGGTACAGAGGGAATGCCAAGGAGGGTTGGGGGGTAGCAGTGTGAAGTTGGTGTACCTTATCTATAAAATCAATTCCCAACCATTTGCAGCATGCAGATTCTCTATAAAACTGAAACCCAATCTAAGTAGAATGTAATAGAATTAATATATATATATATTAATATGATTTAATATGAATTAAATAGATGTATATAGCAGAGCCCATGGCCAGAACATCAGATGAACCCAGATCAGGTTCCAATGCCAAAGCTTGATGCGCTGCTGGCTGCTTCTTTGGTTGCAACTGTGGAGTTTGTTGGAATCAGTTGTGTAAAGCACATTCTAGATGCCACACAGTGATGGTAATCCAGGGACTGGATTTTATAGAAAGGGTTGAATAAGATCGATGGTGTTTGATGATGATTGATGCACGCTTTGTGGTAAACATTTCTGGGCTAGGCGGCTAGAAGAGGATCAGCTCAAGCATTCTGAGGATTCAAGCAAGGGGAAGAAGACCGCTGCAAAGGCGGCAGCCGCTGAAGCAAAGAAACCTGCTTCTTGGGTTGTTGACTTGGGGCCCTAGGGATGGGTTGTGCCAGTGCTTTGGGTATCTTTGGGTTCCCTTGTAAGTGTTCCCTGTAGTTGATTGGTTTTGTGGGGTCTGATTTTATACCAATATAATCCAATATATAGGGATTCTTGAATAATATATTCTCTATAAATGATGTGTATATATATATAATTATTTTGATATTTTATATTTATTTTTAATATCATATTATCAATTCTTAAAATATGCTGATGTAACAGGTATTTTTTAAAAACATGATTATATTATTTAAATTAATCTAATCTTGAAAATTTTTAAGAATCTTAAACATATATATATGCTTGTTATTAAATTGATCTTGTTTGTAGTTGTTGTGGCCTTCTGAGGCTAAGAAAAAGAACCCGCCGCCTGCAGAAGAACCAGCCGATGCGCCTAAGGAAACACCTGATGTTTCTTGGGGCTCTGATTTGGGAATGCTGGGATGTGCCATTGTTGTGGATTGCACATTTGGATCTTATAGAGTTCCCAGGTAGTGGGGCTTCTGGGTTTTAGATTTTATAGCAAGATTGTACCATTGAATCAGCTTAAACAGTTTGGCAATTGTTGGTTCGTTTATTTTTTGGAATGTGCTATTGAAATGGTATATATACAATTATATATATATATAGAGATTATAGATCAAACTGATTCAAAACGATCAAAACGAAAAAACATACGTATATTGAACTACTGTATATTGAAATAGTCAATATATTCTCATCATCTCTCATCAACCCAAGCCAATATTGAATATATTTTCATCAACCCAAGCCATTTGAGGTTTCAGAGGAGCCAGCGGAACCCGGTGCAGAAGAACCACCCGATGCGCCTAAGGAAACACCTGATGTTTCTTGGGGCTCTGATTTGGGAATGCTGGGATGTGCCATTGTTGTGGATTGCACATTTGGATCTTATAGAGTTCCCAGGTAGTGGGGCTTCTGGGTTTTAGATTTTATAGCAAGATTGTACCATTGAATCAGCTTAAACAGTTTGGCAATTGTTTGTTCGTTTTTTTTGGAATGTGTTATTGAAATAGTATATATACAATTATATATATAGAGAATTATATAGATCAAACTGATTCAAAACGATCAAAACGAAAAAACATACGTATATTGAACTACTGTATATTGAAATAGTCAATATATTCTCATCATCTCTCATCAACCCAAGCCAATATTGAATATATTTTCATCAACCCAAGCAATTGAGGTTTCAGAGAAGTCAGCGGAACCTGGTGCAGAAGAACCACCCGATGCGCCTAAGGAAACACCTGATGTTTCTTGGGGCTCTGATTTGGGAATGCTGGGGTGTGCCATTGTTGTGGATTGCACATTTGGATCTTATAGAGTTCCCAGGTAGTGGGGATTCTGGGTTTTTGATTTTATAGAAAGATTGTACCATTGAATCAGCTTAAACAGTTTGGCAATTGTTTGTTCGTTTTTTTTTGGAATGTGTTATTGAAATAGTATATATACAATTATATATATATATAGAGAATTATATAGATCAAACTGATTCAAAACGATCAAAACGAAACAGCATACGTATATTGAACTACTGTATATTGAAATAGTCAATATATTCTCATCATCTCTCATCAACCCAAGCCAATATTGAATATACTTTCATCAACCCAAGCCATTTGAGGTTTCAGAGAAGCCAGCGGAACCCAGTGCAGAAGAACCAACCGATGCGCCTAAAGAAACACCTGATGTTTCTTGGGGCTCTGATTTGGGAATGCTGGGATGTGCCATTGTTGTGGATTGCACATTTGGATCTTATAGAGTTCCCAGGTAGTGGGGCTTTGGGTTTTAGATTTTATAGCAAGATTGTACTATTGAATAAGCTCAAACAGTTTTGCAATTGTTGGTTCTTTTATTTGGAATATGCTTTTGAAACCCTGTAGATTCAGATGAAAAGTAATACGCCCTGTATATCCCTGTATATTAGCTTATATTAGACATTATTAGACCATATCACACTTTGTATTGAAATCATTTGAACTCTTGTAAAGTTTGTGAAATAAGATTCACGCATTCTCAGGTTTCAGAGAAACCAGCGGAACCCGGTGCAGAAGAACCACCCGATGCGCCTAAGGAAACACCTGATGTTTCTTGGGGCTCTGATTTGGGAATGCTGGGACGTGCCATTGTTGTGGATTGCACATTTAGATCTTATAGAGTTCCCAGGTAGTGGGGCTTCTGGGTTTTTGATTTTATAGCAAGAGTGTACCATTGAATCAGCTTAAACAGTTTGGCAATTGTTGGTTCGTTTTTCTTTTGGAATGTGCTATTGAAATAGTATATTAATAATTATATATATATATATAGAGAATTATATAGATCAAACTGATTCAAAACGATCAAAACGAAAAAGCATACGTATATTGAACTACTGTATATTGAAATAGTCAATATACTCTCATCATCTCTCATCAACCCAAGCCAATATTGAATATACTTTCATCAACCCAAGCCATTTGAGGTTTCAGAGAAGTCAGCCGAGCCCGGTGCACAAGAACCAGACGATGCGCCTAAGGAAGCACATGCTGTATCTTGGATTTCCGTGCTGGGATTGCTGGGATGTGCCATTGTTGTGGATTACATATTTGGATCTTATAGAGTTCCCATGTAGTGGGGCTTCTGGGTTTTTGATTTTATAGCATCATTGTAACCTTAACATTGAGTTTGTTTTAAAGGTCTCTCAAACAAAGAATGTATAAAACAATATAAAACAATATATAACATACTTTAAGAATCTTTAAGATACTTTAAGTATTTTGGAGTAAGTCAAAATATGTCAAAATAAGTCTTGAGCTGTCACTTTGATACAATCTTTCCAAATCGTAAAAAAAACAACAGAGATTGACCCAAGCCATCTGAGGTTGCAGGGAAGCCAGGGACTGCAGCAGCAGCACCGGCAGCACGAGCCAATGAACCGGAGGAAACCCCTGATGCTACTTGGAGTTCTGACATGGGACTGCTGGGGATGCGGTGTGCCAGGGATGTGAACTGCAGTTTTGGATTTCATAGAGGGTTCAGGTGTCTGGTTTTCTGGGGTTTTGACTTTATAGCAACCTTGTAACATTGAGTATGTTTTGAAAAGGCTTTGATTTTTTTGATTCTTTTCAACATGCCTTTGAAATTGATGAACATTAAAAGACATTGTGTAGATACATTGGTTATGATATGTTTTGATTTGATATTATTGGACTAGTGTTGAAATAGCATCATATGGGTTGATATTGGAATGAGTAGACAGGGAATGCCCGGGATGATTGATGTCCGGGAGCTTTTTGGAATGTTGTGCATTGAACTCGGTGGCTCTTCCTTTTGCTTTAGCATTTGCGGCCCGTTCCTGCCTGTGTTTTCATCTTGCTTTTGCCAGCCACACGGCCCCATGTTGAAGAGCCTCACGCTTGCAGTGCTGCTGGTGTTGGCGACGTCCGCCAAAACAGACGTGGATACAACATGTAGCATTCCAGAGGGTCAGAGCCTAGGCAGCAACATGATTACAATTCTGTACATTATTGTTATTTATTGTCTATAAAATGAAGACCCATCAACAAGAAATATGCAGAACGGCTCAGGGTGTAACAGTTGTTCCCCAGTGATGGGTACTTACAGTAATATATAATGTTTACATATGTTTACTGTATGTTCCCCAGTGGGTCCCCAGTTATGGATTTATGGTTTGCAATCAGGGTTTGGATTATATACCCATAGAATATCATTTAATATCATTTAATCACATATAAAACATGTCCACGAACACGAAGCATCGGCCTGTGATAGGTGGTTTGCAGCAGAAGACCACCTCGAGGAAATTGGCAACTACGTTCAAGCATGGTCCGGTACAAGGGTCTACCATGTTATTGATTGCTTTGGCTTTAGCCAACGCATCAAGATGCTTGGTTCAAACTGATGACCTGACAAGCTCAAATATAAAACATTATAAAACTGTAATTACAAACACCTGGGATCACCTGGTATTCTTGTGATGTCTTGTGTGCATAGACAACATTGAGGGATCATACTTGTACTATCTTGTACCTATATCATGGATTCATGTGAGCTTTGTTTCCAAGGCGCCAATGGTCCCGCTGTGGCTTTGCTGCGGCAGCATATGACATTGCACTTGACGAGCGGGATGATTTGTGTTCCAGGGACGGGTTTTACCGTTTGCTGAACCTATGTCTAGCGTTTCCTGTCCCCAGATGGTCGTGCAGGGTTTGGATGTGTTGAGCTCATGTTGGTATTGAGTTCTTTTTGTTTTTATAGAGGGCATGGAAGATGGCAATCCCAGGTTTAGATTTTATACAGAGCTTGTTTGACCTGCAGTGCGCTCAGGTTGCTTCCTTTTGGCTTGGCAATGGCTGGACCACCATGCTCGCTGATGGTAAATGCTTGCCAGTCGGTACACCGCCGTTCTGAATGGCGGCTGGAAGGCGATACCAGGTGGTTCAAAGTCCGGATGAGCAACCGCATTTGGAAGAACTTTGTGACTTGGTTTTTACATGGTTTAATTGGCTTTATAATTAAATGATATTAAATGAATTTATATTTATATATATTTATATAATTTTATATATCTTTTAGATTCTTTTAGCGAGTTAATTATATAATATATAATGATACTATAACATGTTATATATAATATATATATATATTGTTTTTGTTGAACATGTAGTACAGAATACTCCACAATAGTGCTTGCAATCAGGCAGTGGTTCTCAAGGCCATCATCCATCGGGGTGTCTTCATATGCGTTGAGCAGCCTGCTCAATCATGGGCCCTGAAACAAGAGTACTTTCGTGAACTCATCAAAATCGGGAACATGTGCTTCGACAAAGTTATAGCATTTTTACACATAGTTTTTTCAAAAAAAAAGTTTGATCTTTTTTGTGTGTGTCCTATCCTTTGCTGTTGTGGGATGAGTCGTAACGCTCCATGATTCAGAGACCTTGACCACAGACAGGACGACAACAACGACATGGATGGCGTTCTATAACCATGACCTCTTGAAGGCAACACACCTTCTTTCCAATTGTAGGGCTATCCAGAGCATGAGGAAGGTCATGACCAAGAAGGACCGAAAGCATTTCAATGCGAGGTTTGAAAAGCGCAATCGCAGGCGTGCAAACCCTCGCGTCTACCATTCAGTGGTTCAGAAGCGGGACGGGTCAAAGGGCTGGCAGGGTGGCCCACACCTGGCGTCCAGTGCCGAGTACACGTCCTCTTTTTGCTTGGCAGTCTACCAATGCTGGCTTGAAGCGCAGCCAGCACAGCCTGCACAGCCTTGACGTCTTTTTGATGTCATGATGTTGTCAGAGGGTGCCACCAAGATGGTAATAGCATCCGCTTTGTTGACTGTGAACAATTGTGAGATCTCGTGAGTCATGCTGGGGGCCTCATGCTCGACCAACAATGTTGAGCAGTCATGATGGCTTACTCTATCCCAGACTTGTGGGTAGCGCTGGGGTAGGATTCGCATGGACTAGCTGAAAAAAATGGCTGGGGTGTAGTGGTGTGAAGTTGGTGTCCCTTATCTACAAAATTCATTCCCAACCTCCTGCAGCATGCAGAATGTGTATAAAACTAAAACCCAAACCATGTAGCAGATCTCATGACCAGAACCTATGAGATGAGTTATTATGTCTTAATCATTCTTAATCACTCTCATTTGTTTACCCCGTGGGTGGAAGCTTGCCTTGACTGATGCCACCTAGGTTCCAATGGCAGATGTTGATGCGCTACTGGCTGCTTCTTTGGTTGAAACGTTGGAATTTGTTGGAATCAGTTGCGTAAAGCACATTCTAGATGCCGCATAGTGATGGTAATCCAGGGACTGGATTTTATAGAAAGGGTTGGATAAGATCGATGGTAAATATACTCTCATCATCTCTCATCAACTCAAGCCAATATTGAAATAGTATACTGTAATATACTGTATATACTTTCATCAACCCAAGCCATTTGAGGTTTCAGAGAAGCCAGCGGAACCCGGTGCAGAAGAACCAGCCGATGCGCCTAAGGAAACACCTGATGTTTCTTGGGGCTCTGATTTGGGAATGCTGGGATGTGCCATTGTTGTGGATTGCATATTTGGATCTTATAGAGTTCCCAGGTAGTGGGGCTTCTGGGTTTTAGATTTTATAGCAAGATTGTACCATTGAATCAGCTTAAACAGTTTGGCAATTGTTGGTTCGTTTATTTTTTGGAATGTGCCATTGGAATAGTATATATATAATTAAATAATATTTTTTATATAGAGAATTATATAGATCAAATTGATTCAAAACGATCAAAACGAAAAAGCATACGTATATTGAACTACTGTATATTGAAATAGTAAATATACTCTCATCATCTCCCATCAACCCAAGCCAATATTGAATATACTTTCATCAACCCAAGCCATTTGAGGTTTCAGAGAAGCCAGCGGAACCCGGTGCAGAAGAACCAACCGATGCGCCTAAAGAAACACCTGATGTTTCTTGGGGCTCTGATTTGGGAATGCTGGGATGTGCCATTGTTGTGGATTGCACATTTGGATCTTATAGAGTTCCCAGGTAGTGGGGCTTCTGGGTTTTTGATTTTATAGCAAGATTGTACCATTGAATAAGCTCAAACAGTTTTGCACTTGTTGGTTCTTTTATTTGGAATATGCTTTTGAAACCCTGTAGATTCAGATGAAAAGTAATACGCCGTGTATATTAGACATTATTAGACCATATCACTCTTTGTATTGAAATCATTTGAACGGTTGTGAAGTTTGTGAACAAAGATTCACACATTCTCAGGTTTCAGAGAAGGCAGCCGAGCCCGGTGCACAAGAACCAGACGATGCGCCTAAGGAAGCACATGCTGTATCTTGGATTTCCGTGCTGGGATTGCTGGGATGTGCCATTGTTGTGGATTACATATTTGGATCTTATAGAGTTCCCATGTAGTGGGGCTTCTGGGTTTTTGATTTTATAGCATCATTGTAACCTTAACATTGAGTTTGTTTTAAAGGTCTCTCAAACAAAGAATGTATAAAACAATATAAAACAATATAAAACATACTTTAAGAATCTTTAAGATACTTTAAGTATTTGGAGTCAAATATGTCAAAATAAGTCTTGAGCTGTCACTTTGATACAATCTTTCCAAATCGTAAAAAAACAACAGAGATTGACCCAAGCCATCTGAGGTTGCAGACAAGCCAGGGACTGCAGCAGCAGCACCGGCAGCACGAGCCAATGAACCGGAGGAAACCCCTGATGCTACTTGGAGTTCTGACATGGGACTGCTGGGGATGGGGTGTGCCAGGGATGTGAACTGCAGTTTTGGATTTCATAGAGGGTTCAGGTGTCTGGTTTTCTGGGGTTTTGACTTTATAGCAACCTTGTAACATTGAGTATGTTTTGAAAAGGCTTTGATTTTTTTTGATTCTTTTCAACATGCCTTTGAAATTGATGAACATTAGGAGACATTGTGTAGATATATTATTGAACTAGTGTTGAAATAGCATCATATGGGTTGATATTGAAATGAGTAGACAGGGAATGCCCGGGATGATTGATGTCCGGGAGCTTTTTGGAATGTTGTGCATTGAACTCGGTGGCTCTTCCTTTTGCTTTAGCATTTGCGGCCCGTTCCTGCCTGTGTTTTCATCTTGCTTTTGCCAGCCACACGGCCCCATGTTGAAGAGCCTCACGCTTGCAGTGCTGCTGGTGTTGGCGACGTCCGCCAAAACAGACGTGGATACAACATGTAGCATTCCAGAGGGTCAGAGCCTAGGCAGCAACATGATTACAATTCTGTACATTATTGTTATTTATTGTCTATAAAATGAAGACCCATCAACAAGAAATATGCAGAACGGCTCAGGGTGTAACAGTTGTTCCCCAGTGATGGGTACTTACAGTAATAATGTTTACATATGTTTACCGTATGTTCCCCAGTGGGTCCCCAGTTATGGATTTATGGTTTGCAATCAGGGTTTGGATTATATACCCATAGAATATCATTTAGTCACATATATAACATATAAAACATGTCCACGAACACGAAGCATCGGCCTGTGATAGGTGGTTTGCAGCAGAAGACCACCTCGAGGAAATTGGCAACTACGTTCAAGCATGGTCCGGTACAAGGGTCTACCATGTTATTGATTGCTTTGGCTTTAGCCAACGCATCAAGATGCTTGGTTCAAACTGATGACCTGACAAGCTCAAATATAAAACATTATAAAACTATAATTACAAACACCTGGGATCACCTGGTATTCTTGTGATGTCTTGTGTGCATAGACAACATTAAGGGATCATACTTGTACTATCTTGTACCTATATCATGGATTCATGTGAGCTTTGTTTCCAAGGCGCCAATGGTCCCGCTGTGGCTTTGCTGCGGCAGCATATGACATTGCACTTGACGAGCGGGATGATTTGTGTTCCAGGGACGGGTTTTACCGTTTGCTGAACCTATGTCTAGCGTTTCCTGTCCCCAGATGGTCGTGCAGGGTTTGGATGTGTTGAGCTCATGTTGGTATTGAGTTCTTTTTGTTTTTATAGAGGGCATGGAAGATGGCAATCCCAGGTTTAGATTTTATACAGAGCTTGTTTGACCTGCAGTGCGCTCAGGTTGCTTCCTTTTGGCTTGGCAATGGCTGGACCACCGTGCTCGCTGATGGTAAATGCTTGCCAGTCGTTACACCGCCGTTCTGAATGGCGGCTGGAAGGTGATACCAGGTGGTTCAAAGTCCGGATGAGCAACCGCATTTGGAAGAACTTTGTGACTTGGTTTTTACATGGTTTAATTGGCTTTATAATTAAATGATATTAAATGGAATTATATTTATATATATTTATATAATTTTATATATCTTTTAGCAAATTAATTATATAATATACAATAATAATATAATATATTTTAGATATAATATATATATATATTGTTTTTGTTGAACATGTAGTACAGAATACTCCATAATAGTGCTTGCAATCAGGCAGTGGTTCTCAAGGCCATCATCCATCGGGGTGTCTTCATATGCGTTGAGCAGCCTTCTCAATCATGGGCCCTGAAACAAGAGTACTTCCGTGAACTCATCAAAATCGGGAACATGTGCCTCGACAAAGTTATAGCATTTTTACACATATTTTTTTTCAAAAAAAAAGTTTGATCTTTTTTGTTTGTGTCCTATCCTTTGCTGTTGTGGGATGAGTCGTAACGCTCCATGATTCAGAGACCTTGACCACAGACAGGACGAGAACAACGACATGGATGGCGTTCTATAACCATGACCTCTTGAAGGCAACACACCTTCTTTCCAATTGTAAGGCTATCCAGAGCATGAGGAAGGTCATGACCGAGAAAGACCGAACGCATTTCAATGCGAGGTTTGAAAAGCGCAATCGCAGGCGTGCAAACCCTCGCGTCTACCACTCAGCGGTTCAAAAGCGGGACGGGTCAAAGGGCTGGCAGGGTGGCCCACACCTGGCGTCCAGTGCCAAGTATACGTCCTCTTTTTGCTTGGCAGTCTACAAATGCTGGCTTGAAGCGCAGCCAGCACAGCCTGCACAGCCTTGACGTCTTTTTGATGTCATGATGTTGTCAGAGGGTGCCACCAAGATGGTAATAGCATCCGCTTTGTTGACTGTGAACAATTATGAGATCTCGTGAGTCATGCTGGGGGCCTCATGCTCGACCAACAATGTTGAGCAGTCATGATGGCTTACTCTATCCCAGACTTGTGGGTAGCGCTGGGGTAGGATTCGCATGGACTAGCTGAAAAAAATGGCTGGGGTGTAGTGGTGTGAAGTTGGTGTCCCTTATCTACAAAATTCATTCCCAACCTCCTGCAGCATGCAGAATGTGTATAAAACTAAAACCCAAACCATGTAGCAGATCTCATGACCAGAACCTATGAGATGAGTTATTATGTCTTAATCATTCTTAATCACTCTCATTTGTTTACCCCGTGGGTGGAAGCTTGCCTTGACTGATGCCACCTAGGTTCCAATGGCAGATGTTGATGCGCTACTGGCTGCTTCTTTGGTTGAAACGTTGGAATTTGTTGGAATCAGTTGCGTAAAGCATATTCTAGATGCCGCATAGTGATGGTAATCCAGGGACTGGATTTTATAGAAAGGGTTGAATAAGATCGATGGTGTTTGATGATGATTGATGCACGCTTTGTGGTAAAGATTTCTGGGCTAGGCGGCTAGAAGAGGATCAGCTCAAGCATTCTGAGGTTTCAAACAAGGGGAAGAGGACCACTGCAGAGACAGCAGCCAATGAAGCAAAGAAACCTGTT